AGCTGAGATGGGACATGCCAGGAAGCCAGACTGCTGTGGGGAAGTGGTGCCAGGGTAGAGGACACCTCAAGGTGCCTCTCTGCACCGTACCCATGTGGCAGCCCTAAAACATCACTGGTGGTCCAGCCTTTGTGAGTATAGGACTGAGGATGTCTGCTAAGTCCCTGTGCTGTGGTGGCCAGAGACTCCTGCTGGGGCTCTGCCAGGCTTCTGGAGAAAAGCCTGTTCCCAGGCACTGTCCTGGACACTGCAGGGTGCTGGTGCATCTCCTTGCAGCCATTCCATTGTGCTGTGCCAAGCCCCTGTGCACCAGGCACAGGTGGATGCCTTCCTTTTCAGCACAAGTGATGCACAACATGCAAACCTCAGCTTCTAGTAAGCGAGCAGTAAAGAAAACGTTAGGAGGAATTTCCAACTCAGTGAGAAGTTGTATAGGCCGGTGATTAAAAAGTGGTTATTAAAAAAAATTAGAAAGAAAAACTAAGTTCTGTAGTCTGCATGTCTTCCAGGATCTGTCGTAACAGATTCGTCCAAGCCGGTTAACGGTATTTGCGGTTTGCAAGATGCTACATGTCTGAGTAAGATGACAGACACATTATTATCACCTCTCCACTGCGATCTGTCCAAACCTGTCCCAGGATGCAGCTCCGCAGCTGCTTGCTGGGGAGTGCAAGGAAATTAGCAGCCGGAGGCAGCACTTTTCTTCTCTCTCCCTTGCCAGGCTAGTGGCTTTATTGGGATCCATTGACTGCAGTCCTGGACACGTCTTGAGTAAAGCTAATGAGGAGAGTGGAATGTAAAAGAGGAGGAGGAGAAGGCTGGTAGGGAGAAGGGGGGAGGATTTGTGGAAAAAGTAATTGTTGAGCAAATCATTTCCTTCAAGAGAGAAAGAAGGACTTGGCTGCAGCCCTCCTGAAGCAGGCAAGTCTAGACGCTTCGGTGTCAACAGTTGAAGATAAATAAGATTTTATCAGCTCCAAATCTGTTGGGACACATCCTTCTAGCGGTTCTCCTGCCCAGAGAGGAGCAGGGGCAGATGGACTTTGCTGGTAGGTCTCTGTGCAGAAGATTCAGGTTATTTCTTGAGCCATGATCTTAGCATAGTGAGGAAAACCCACCTCTCCTGTGCCTCACTTCCTGCACAGTAGCTGCAGGGCTGATTAGGGCAGGGGTTTCTTCAAGAGCAGGTCTTGGATGTGTGCGCAGGGTGAACAGCAGCAGTCTTAAGCTTAACTTAAGTGCTGTTTTGGTCTCCATGAATTTCTGTGGGGTATTAGGTCACTTGAACCTTGTAATGCACGCAACATTTCTTGGACACAGTGGTTGTAGTAGTAAGATAACACTTAGAAAGGAGAATTTGGCTTTTCCATTCAGTCTTACTGCTCTGGACTTGCACTACAAGACATTACAGGAGCAGAGAAGCAGCAGCAGCAGCAAGAGGTGCCATTGTGTTTTCCCCTGCAGCAAATAGGGGTGTGCTTACACTGAAAGCCACATGACTGTAAGAGAGGAAAAACAAGAGAACAAGAATATGTGTTCTGCAAGTTTATGTAAGCTTAGGGTTGGTTTCTCAGTTATACTGCTGCTGTTTATGCTGTACAATCATCCACAAGCCGCAGCGACATGGAGCTGTTGTGCTCTGCAAACACACAGTAACAGGCTGTCTGACTTTCTTCTACAATCAGAGGTGACTTTAAGAATACAAAGGGCTACACTAACAGCTAAAGCACAGAACAGGAATTGGAGGTAAAGGAAGGAGATGCCTAGAGATAGAACAAATTCAAACTTTTGTGTAGGTGTGAAAGAAATGCTAGGCTTGAGATCTTTCAGTGCTGCCACACCAGCACCGGAGATGCTGGGGAATGTGTTCAGGCACCCACGGGTGCTGCTGAGGCATCAACACCGCTCAGTTCACCAACACAGCCCTGTCCATGCTTGCTTCCCATATACCAGGGACAGCTCCACTGGCCAGCAGCCAAGCACTCCTGCAGCACACTCTCAAACCAGCAGGAGCCACAGCTGCCACCAGCTTGCAAAAACTAAATGGAATGGTATGGGTGGACAGCCAGAGGCTTGCCCTCCAACCATATGGCAATGACACGGCCGTGGCCAAAAGATGAGTGTGAAGCAGCGAGGTGACTGCAGCACTCCTTGAGATAAATACTGCTGTGTTGTTCTGGGGTTCTGATTTTTCACTTGGCAACTCTCCTATTTTGCACTTGAGGAAGGTACAGTGCTTTGGTGCACTGTGTAAGTGAAGTGCAAGTGCATGCACTTCAGCTGCACCTCAGCAAGCATCAGTAACTGAAAGCACAATTTTGCCCAGATGTAGATGACCATGAAGAAGCAGAGCACCTGCATGGTCCTCTACTGGGAGTCTCAAAGCATACATTTTACTGTCCCTTATGTATACACTGCTTTTCTTGGCTGAAAACATGGCTAGACACATAAGAGTCTCAGTGGATTCTGAAAACACCTGAAATATAATGCTCACTCCCAAAGTGAGCATGAACAAGCAGGGTTTCCAAGACCAGGAGAGCTTTACTCCAGCAGTGACTGCAGCAGAGCATGCAGAGAGCCAAGTGCTGCTGATCCAGCACCATGAACACAGTCTCACAGGATGCAACCCTGATCCTTCTTGCCCAGAGTTATCAGTGTGGAGTTCCTTAAAAGAATAGTTTGTTATTGTTGAAGGATCTTTGAAGGCAATGCTGGAGCTGTTAAGACATGATAAGGTTATCAGCAGAGGCATGCCTGTGTTGAGCAGCAGCGTTTCTCCCTGCAGGGCAATTGCTGTGCTATTTAACAGAGATTTATCCATGTCATAACATGGTATAATGAGAGAATTTGTTACCAAAGAGCTTGCCGTAATGCACCTCTGCTCTTCCAGAGCAGTTTTATTTCCCAGGCGTGTTGAGGACTGCCCGGGAATGTCTACATGAAAGGATCCTTTGACAGGAGTTGTCAGTATTTTAACACCTGGCAAGGAAGAGCCCCCTCCATATAACCCTTGTTTTGCCACATTGTCTCCCCAAAACAAGAGCATTAAGTCCCCATTGCACCCATGCAAACAGGTTATATGGGCTCAAGCCTTGCTCCAGTGCTGCTCTCTCTTTCCATTGCTAGAAATTGCACCCCTGTCATATGTAAAGGACCAGCTAAAAGGTGACACCATGACATGCCCCACATACCCTAACATCCTACCAGCAGCCTTGCACTCAAGTTATTTGCTTGCTGCGGAGCCCTCAGCTTTAGAAGCAAGCCCTCTGCCAGAGGGAAAGCAGCGATGCTTCCTCACTGCATGGCATTAGGAGCAAAGACTCAGTGGCCATTGCACACCTGTATTTTGGTGGCTTAGGACAAGCATTAACATCCTCACAAACATTCAGCACGGTGGTATTTTTTTGGCACAAAGCATGTGTTGTGGGAATGAGATAAAATACTTTGAACAGAAGCACGCCCTGCATGCAGGGACTAGCTGAGCTCTGTGCAGCAGGGGTGGGCTCGTGTATAGCAAACAAATTCTTTGTTAGAAAACAACACGGCAAGGTGGAAGGGAACTGCATCTCCTCACACGTGTGCCCTGGACAGCAGTTAGTAGAAGGTGAGGGACAGGCTCTGTCCACCTGCCCAGCTGCCTGGGGCACCTCCCAGTCCCAAACCACTCAGAGAAGTGCAGGGCAAGCACCTGTCAGACCCAAGAAGACTCACATGTCACTCCATCTCCATGGGCTGCTACCTTTGCCCCTCACTGTGTTCACCTATGTCCAGCACAAGAAGGGACTCTGCTACCTTAGGGAGGTTTTACCTTGCAAGCACAGCACTCCTCTGCTCTTCCTCTTGCTCTGTCCTCAGCTACACCATAGGAGCAGCAGCATTCTACCCCAACTTTTATGGGCTCAGCATCACAACTCAGTGCACCTGAGCTGGGAGGGGGCTGGGAGGAGCACGTAACTTGTTCCTGGCTGGGTCAGTGCTGGGTGCACACTGGGGCCAAACACAGCTGTGCTGAGTGGAGACAGTTGTTGTTTCTGGAAGTGAAGTTTGCCTCTTGCTCATGACCAAGCAGACCCTGTTGTGTCTGCACAAGGAACATTTCAGTGGTCACAGACCATCTTCTGTCAGCATGCAGCTCTGGGTGTGATTTCCAGCTGCTGCCCAGCATCACCCAGTGCCTGTCCTGACAGAGTGCTGTCCCAGCCTCCCTGATCCATCTCCTTTGTGACCTTCTGCTAGGACTGCAAGTGTCTGTGAAGAATCGAGTCATGGTCAGGATAAACCCCATTCCGCACCACACTTACTAGACATAATTAATGTCTGACATCTTCCCTAATTAGCTGTAATTCTATTATGCAGTGTGAAGCACGGATTCCTTATCCCTCTGTGCCAGCTGGGAAACCCTCCCTAGAAGGTCCCATGCTGCATCCAGTAGTTGGTGTGATCTGGCTTGTGTGGAAAGTGGACATTGTTGTGCAGGTGAACTTGGTCACATTTAAGCATTGCTAGGGAGAAACAAGTGCTGAGCCTTGGGGTAAGAAGTTACTGCAGAACAACACACAATGTCCCCTACATGCATGTGCAATAGCAGTTTGCAAGGCAGCTATCTCTTGTGCAGCTTCACAAAGCATGTGCATCAGCAGAGCCAATACACGGGGAATCCTGCGCTGGCACAGCACCCCCGGAGCGGTTAAAGTACAATAGGCAGCAATTGGTTTTATAACGAGTCATTATTTTAATATGCTGCTTTGCTGCCATGTTGGCATCTCACTGGGAGCATTCAGGAGGCAGAAGGTGGGTGGATCAGAGGAGCTGCGGGAAAGCAGGCGCCTGCCTGAGCGTGGTGTGAGAGCCACAGTGCTCAGCCTCCACGTGCACACAGCATCCCTCAGGCACAGGGCAGCGGGCACCCAGGGCTCCTTGCTGCCATGCTGAACTGCATGTCCATGTTTTCCATTTGCTCCTCACGAGCTGTGCTAACGCAGGTCTCTCTTCTATTCCAGTACTCCCCGCTGCTGAAGAAGCTGTACTGTCAGATTGCCAAGACATGTCCCATCCAGATCAAGGTATCCAGCCCACCGCCACCGGGCACCATCATCCGGGCCATGCCTGTCTACAAGAAGGCCGAGCACGTGACAGAAGTGGTGAAACGCTGCCCCAACCATGAGCTGGGGCGTGACTTTAATGATGGTGAGTGCTGTTGTCACCCCTACAGGGCACAGCCCCAGCTGCAAAACATGGCTGGGAAGAGCTAGTGGGACAGGCACTGCTGCCCTGTCCAGGACGAAGCTCCAGGTCCTAACCACAGGCACTTGACTTACAGGCCAGTCAGCCCCAGCCAGCCACCTCATCAGGGTGGAAGGCAACAACCTCTCCCAGTACGTGGACGACCCTGTGACAGGACGGCAGAGTGTGATGGTGCCCTATGAGCCCCCACAGGTACCCAGCTGCATAGGGGGTGGTGGGGAGCAGAATCAGCTCTTGTCCCAGTGTTGAGGGGTGAACCCGCTGGTGACATCTGCTTTGTTGGAGGAAGATTTGAGTCCTGGGCTGGAGTCTGGTGGCACTAGCACATCCAAGCCCTTGTGTACCTGCTCTGAGTACTCTGTTCCTGAGTGGTGGGGAACAGAAGGCCTGAGCGTCCCCCTCAGAGATCCCACAGCCCTTGCAGCATCCCATTTCCCCACTTAGGACTGTCCCCATCACTGCAGTGCCACATGTCACCACTCTTCCCAGTGCTCCTTCTGCTTGACCTGCAAAGGCACTCAAGGCACAGCCCTGCCCAAAGGGATGCCCTCACTCTTTGCTCACTGTCTGCTACCCTCTCCTGGGCAGGTGGGAACCGAGTTCACCACTATCCTGTACAACTTCATGTGCAACAGCAGCTGTGTGGGAGGAATGAACAGGAGACCCATCCTCATTATCATCACACTGGAGACGAGAGAGTAAGTGGCTGCTGGAGCACCATTCTTGCCTTAGGAGAAAGGCTGCTTCCTGCTGGCTAGGGATAGGGGAGGGGAGGTACAGCAGACCCATTGCAGTGCTGGCTTCTTCCCACACAGCTGAAGCCTTCCTCAGCCTCAGGAGCTCCTCCCGCAGGAGACTGCTCCTGCTCAGGCTGTTTGCAGAGGGGCTTCCCACACCCAGGGATCTGAGCCAGGCCATAACATGCTGGGCTGAGCCTAGGTGAACGTCCCTGGCAGAAACAAATTCACCAGTTCCTCTCTCCTCCCAGCGGCCAAGTCCTAGGAAGGCGATCCTTTGAGGGACGGATCTGTGCCTGTCCTGGCAGAGACCGGAAAGCTGATGAAGACCATTATCGAGAGCAACAAGCCCTGAATGAGAACGCAGCTAAAAATGGCAACGCCAACAAACGCAGTGAGTCTGCTCTCCAGGAGAGGGAGGGTGCCTCAGAACACTGCTTTGTCACAGTCTTGAGCTCCTAGCCTGCACTGTTCCTCGAAACCCTTCTGCCTCAGCACCTTTCCCATTGCATCACTGTGCTCCAGAAGTTCAGGCTTAAACCCACAATGGGGCATAATGCTTTGACCTTTCTCCTCTGAATCTCAGAAGTAGGATCTCCTCTCTTTTTGCCCCGGAGTGCAGTGATATTAGCATAGGGCCTTTCTGTCCAGATGTATTCATTACTGTTGATTTTGAAGGAACATCATCAAGGACGTAATACAGTTAAGCAGCAAGCATTGTGCATGATGTGAGCTAAAATACTTCAGGAAACCAAGGTGTTACCAGATGTGTCCTGTTCTCCCAAGGACAGCAGGGCATAGGAGAATGGAAATGAGAAAAAAAAAGAAATTTTCTTAAAAAATACACGCACAGAATTCCTAGAGCCATAATTCCTAAGTGACAGCGCACATTCGGGATATGTCAAGTTAATTCTCCTAGAGGTAGCTATTTCCCTCTTTTCAGTAAAGGCTTGCAAAGCACACTGCTCCTGCGTGCTCAGAGGACACAGCTGTTCCCACTGCCAGATTTGACTTTCATCTGCTAACATTTTTCCCCTTCTCTCCTTTCCAGCATTCAAACAGAGCCCTCAGGCAATCCCAGCACTGGGGCCAGGCGTTAAGAAACGGAGACACGGGGAAGAGGAGATGTATTATGTGCCTGTAAGTGTCAGTGAGCCACACTGCTCGGCAGTGGCAAGGGAAACTTTTGGGGATGTGGTCTCAGGAAGGATGGGTTTGTGTGACTGCAGGTAGAAAAAAAGGGCCATGGTGAGAGCTGGGCTTGTTCCCTCCTCCAGGTGCGAGGCAGGGAGAATTTCGAGATCCTGATGAAGATAAAGGAGAGCCTGGAGCTGGTGGAGCTGGTCCCGCAGCAGCTGGTTGACTCCTACCGGCAGCAACAGCAGCAGCTCCTGCAGAGGCAGTAAGTGCCATCCCGGTGTCTCTAAGTGCTCACTGCAGCTCTGCAAACTGATCAGCACTGCTGCAACTGCTATTTTTTACAGCACTGTAGGAAGCATAAACTACAACACTGGATATGAACCTTCCTAGGGGGCCTGCACTGCAGTGAGTTCTCCATCTGCAGGGACTTTTCACAGACACATGTAGCTGTTGCCTGACATAAATGCAGCCCAGCCAATTTTGCACCAGTGCAATTTGTCTTGGGCTGCTCTCAGTGCAATCCAGCCTTCCTCAGTGCTACCTGAAACCTCAGCACAAAGATCCTGAGCAGGCAGACAGGAGGTCTGGGGTTGCCAGCTGGCTCCACATCCTCCTGCTGGATGCTCATCGCTTGCCTTCTCTTTCCTGACCAGAAATCAGCTGCAGACACCTTCCTCCTACGGCCCTGTCCTCTCACCTATGAATAAAGTCCATGGAGGAGGAATCAACAAGCTGCCCTCTGTCAACCAGCTGGTCGGGCAGCCAGCACAGCACAGCTCTGGCTCAGCATCAAGCCTGGGGCCAATGGGTAAGGTTCCCACTCCAGCAAAGTGCACAGCCGTGGTCCCAGCTTGTGGGGGCCTTCCCTGCCCAGGAGGGCCCCCAGTGAGAGACATGGGTTCTTGTGTCTCGGTTCTGTCTAACTGATCTATCTGTTGGCATGGCTGCTGCCTAGGACCTGGAATGCTGAACAGCCACCCCATGCAACCCAATGGAGAAATGAACGGGGGCCACTCGTCCCAGTCCATGGTCTCAGGATCACACTGCACCCCTCCTCCACCCTACAACCCCGATCCCAGCCTAGTCAGGTAGGGAGGGCAGCAGATGCCCTTTTTGTGTTGTCCTCTGATGTTTCTTGCTGTTGTCCCTTACTCTAACCTTCAGATCTTCTAGCAACTGGTCAACTGGCCACTGGTCCCAACTGAGAAATCACTGCTCATGAAATCATGTAGGCCATTCTTCTCATCTTAAAAATCAAAGCCCAGCTACCACCAGTTAGAAACACCTCTTGCCCTCATAGACCTCTGGGTAATCTGTCCTTGCTTAATTAAAAAATTAAGTCCTCCCAAACATGAATCTTTTCCTGCATGCCAAACTGCACACAGCTTTGTGAACTTCCACCTTTCCCTTCCTTAGTAACGATGTCTGGAAGATGGTCCACATGGTTCATTTCCACGAGGAATATGCCAGCTTGTCCACAGATGCTTTTTACTGCTTGTCTTTAAGTAGAACATAGATGTTTCAACAGACATCCCAAGGTCAGAGCACCTGTACATTCAGTTATCAGAGCTGCATAGCAGCAATCCCGTGCTATTCACAGAATACCCTTGCAATTAGTCTGTAAGTTGCAGAGACTGACTTTGCTGTCCAAACTAAGGCATGGGCCCTTTTCCTCCTCAGGTAGCTCAGGCTCCCTCCAGTTAACAGTGTAGGTAATTCAGCAGAAATCTCTGAAGATCTGAAGAGGAAAGGAAAAAAAAAAAACAAAACACAGTAATATTCAGAATGAACATAGTTCCATTCTTCATTCTGACATTAATGGAAGTTAAGGTCACACTTAAGATGTGTGACAACAGCCAGAGCAAGTTTTCTCCTCTGCTCGTCTGCCCACATCCCATCTACATCACAAGTGTTTGGAAGTGTTGCCAAGTCTGGAAGCAGCAGGAGCTCACTGCTGTCTCCCTGCTGCCTTTTCAGTGAGCTGAAAACACAGTGTTGGTTGACAGCACAGCTTATATTCATGAGAAGTTAATGCCACTTTATTTTCCAAACTTTTTCTGCAGTTTTTTAACAGGATTGGGGTGTCCAAACTGCATCGACTATTTCACCTCACAAGGGTTACAGAATATTTACCACCTGCAGAACCTATCCATAGAGGTAAATGCTTTGGGAAGATCTGTTCTTACCACTTGTTTCTATCAGCTGTTGATCTTAAAAGCAAGGACAAAACTGTTTTAAAAGAAAGGAAAAAAACTGTGCACCAACCTGTTACAGAATATATACTCCCCATGATTTATGTCTTCCATTTATGCATCATTTCTAGTCCTTCACTTTTAACAGTGGTTCAGTTTTTGGTAGCAACCACAGTAGCCTCTCCATTGGTTCCTCCAGACTGTCAGAAATGAGATCTAATGAGATCTGATGAACTAACAGAGAGAAACAAACTATTAACTCAACAAGCATACTTGTTGAGCTCTTTTCAGATGTCCCAGAAAGAGCAATCCCAAACCAGAACTCATGTAGATGTTTAACACAAAAAGGAAACCAGATAAGGTACTCAGCAAATGAAACAGCATAAGTTATGGAAGAGCTGGAACGAAAACAGGCATACAGTAGGTTTGGTATTCCTGCTCTCATGCTCTGTGTCAGCTCTCTGCTGCCAGGGGAAGAGGAGCTGCCAACTGCAGTTCTCAGTGAAAGCATAATCTCTTGCTGACAATACTGAGGCTGCAAAACTGAAGGCAGCACCAACCAGGAACTCCCCTCATCCATCAGGATAAGGAATAGAAAAAGCTTAAACCCCTGGAGCCATAGTTAGCCTTGTAAGTTCTAGAGCCAGTGTTGTGGACAGAAAAAAAAGCTGCTGCCCTGATTCTGTTTTTTGTTTTTCCCTCAGGTAGTTTGTAATAATCTTCTACCTGGCAGCTACAGTAAAATAGGCAATGCAGCTGCTGAAGACACAATGATTTTTCATTGGTAGCTGGGGCCAGTTGCACAATCTTAGCCTGATTTTGGACCATTTTCTGAACTAACTGCATTATTATCTGCAAGCTGTCAAAAGAAATGTTTGGTATGGCCAGAACTTTGTATCAGGTTGCTGAGCTGTCTGTCCGAGTTGATATTTGTAATTACTAATTGCACACTCGCTATCTTCTCTGGTTAACATTCATATGAGTCTCTGTGTTTGGTATTAACATGGCTCTCTGGCAGCTCTCCACCATGAGGGTATTTGTTCTGGCGCACCCTATTACTGAGATGATCCAGCTCTCAGTTAGCACTACAACCACAAAGCCTGCTATTGCCCGCACTGACTACCTCCAACAGGGAGGGTCCCGACAAACCCCAGTCAGTGGGGCTCAGGGAATGCAGCCCATTACCCCAAGCCCACCCATGGGGGCTGCCTGGAGCCCCCCACTGCTCCTGCCCTGTGCAAGTCAGCCGGGCTGTGCTCCTCACCCTGTGAGCAGAGAACCTGCTGTTCCTCAACCCATGTCCAGTGGGAGCCCCCCATTCTCAGTAGTTCAGTGTGATACAGTGAACTCATGTCACTGTCCCCCTACCCCCAAATAACAAGATGTATTTTTGGCTGACTTTCAAAATGGTGTTTGAATGACTGGTCAAGCGTGACCACGAGTAACTGGTCAGTAACTGAGAAGCTGCCCCTCGTGGAAGCACCCATGGGTTGTTCTGCGGTTGTGTGGGGACTGAGGCCAGGACGTGCCACTCACTCCTGTGCCCACATCCCCTCTGAGCCAAGAGCTGGGGGCCAGGCTCCGTCCCAGTGTTCCCCTCACGGGATGCCCCTCAGCAGCACTGTTCTTCCAGGATCTCGGAGCACTGAAGATCCCAGAGCAGTACCGGATGATCATCTGGAGGGGCCTTCAAGAACTCAAGCAGAGCCACGACTACGGGGCCCAGCAGCTCATTCGCTCCAGCAGCAACGCCTCCACCATCTCCATTGGCAGCTCAGGGGAGCTGCAGCGGCAGCGCGTGATGGAGGCCGTGCACTTCCGTGTGCGTCACACCATCACCATCCCCAACCGCGGCGCGGCAGACGAGTGGGCAGACTTCGGCTTTGACCTCCCAGACTGCAAGTCCCGCAAACAGTCCATAAAAGAAGAGTTCACGGAGGGAGAGATCAACTGAGGTTCTCCAGGACGCGACGGTAGGAAACCGGACACAAAGAGAGTCCAAGGGATGGGCTGGGGAAACCAAACCCCACGTGAAAAATGGGAGAATACTTTCAGCCTTGAGCAGCTGGAGAAGCATAATTTTGCTGGACAGATGCGGACTGTCAGCTGCCCCGATCCATCTGCCAGGTACTTCCCAGAGAGGAAATCCCAGTGGTTTATCAGAGGATCGATGGAAGGACGGGGCGGTGAGAGCTCCTAGAATGCAGCACAGATTCTGACTGCTCGCGGCAGAGGAGTCATCTGCTGGTTCATCCTTCTGTTTTGTATTGTGCTGGACAAGCCTTGCATCAAACAGATGCAGCATAAAGATAGCACATTTTCTGTTAGCAAGACCTACCTTCTTACCTCTGTTCTGTGTTCTCAGTGGTGTTGAAAACCAAAAAACAATTTAGCCCTTATCTGCTCCATTTCCTGTACGAGTATCTGCCATTGACTGACACAAAGCAAGTCTGCTTTCCTGATGGACTGCCAGAAGATGTGTCCCTTTCAGTTCCTTTAGAGCAGAACCGATCTCTTCGTCAGTTCCAGATGTGTTCACGTACTTAAATGTTTGTGTTTATCAACAATGCGATGTACATACAGTATACTCATTGTACTGCAAGAAGAAAAAAAGATTTATTTTCATGTAAGCTATAAAAATTGATGCTCCTGAGATAATAGCGTCAAGCAATTAATTTTATGTTCTAGCATGTAAACGTGCAGAAAGTCATGTTTCAAGACTTACCTATTCACAATTCAGATGTTTTTCCCTCCTGTGAATTATGTCACACAGATGCAGAGGAGAAAACGTGTGAAGGCTCCCGTGGAGTTGGAGCTCTGTGTGATTCCTCCCTGCACCACAGGTGAGGATTGGAGGCAGATAACAGTGACGTGGAGATGAGTTTGATCCCACATTGGAGCGAGGAGGTGGCCTCAGTGAGGTCCTTCCAGCTTGGTTTGCTGCTTCTGGCCATTTTTTCCTGATTTATCTGTTGGTTCAGGCTGACGAGCAGCGCAGCAGAAAGCCATGCTGCCAGCAGACACATTCCCAGCTCCACCTCCTACTGGTGAGCAGAGCAGATACATCCAGAGGTGCTTTAAAGGTTTTGAAACATGTTTTCAACGTTAACTAAGGCTTCTTCAACAGTATTAACTGATACAGTCCAACCATGTTACCAGTAGTACTTTTTGGAACTTTATCTTTGGAAAATGTGTTATTTTTATAGCTGTGGTTTCTTTTTTTTCCCCCCCTTTTTTTTTTTTTTTTTTTTTTTTTTTTTTTTTTTTTGTAACACAATAAAAGCACGTCTGAATTACAACACCTGGTAACTCAAGTCTCGGTTATGCTGTACAGAAAATGTGCACGTAATATTAGTGAGAAGTCTTACACCTCAAAGGGCCTGGAGTTGTTCTGCTTCATCAGCAAAGCTCCAGAGATAGCAGTGCTGTGCAGAACAGGAGCCCCTCATGGGCAAAGCTGTTATTTTAATACAATTTAAAAAGAGATTTCCAAGGTCTTGGAAACCAGCAGACGAGGAGCAGGCAACAGTCAAAACTGTGCGTCTGCAACGAGAATAAAAGGCTCAACGACCTGCTAAGAGCAGGCCTGCCTGGTGCTGAAAGCACGCTGTTTTTCTGTAGCGTACGCTCAGGTTTATGTGCTCAGACTCGGCCCTGCGGCTGGGACCTGCACACAGAGCACCCAGACGGAGAAGGCAGACATTAGGGCCGGCGTTTTGTTTAATTACACAAACTCGGCCGGCTCATCACGCAGCGCCTTCACCCTGCGCGCCATGTTGGCGCCTCCCGGAAGTGACCTCCCGATCCCGGAAGTGATCGCTGCACCTTCCGGAAGCGGCCCGCCGTCTCCTAGCAACCCAGCACCGTCGCCTAGCAACGCAACGCCGCCGCCGGGCGCGGCCCCGATGGGCTCCCGCGGGCAGCCCGAGCCCTGCCGCCAGCCCCGGGCGCCGTGCGAGGCTCAGGGGCCGCGCTCGTCCTCCTGTTTGCCGCCGGGCTCGGAGCCGTCCGGCCCGCTGGGCTTAGCGCCCGAACCGCGGCACGATGAGCTGCGCATCCCCGCCCCGCTGCGCGCCAGCTGTCCCGGCACCTGCGACAGGGCGACGTCGCCGGGCCCGCCGGGTGAGGCGGGAGGGCCGGAGGGGAGGCCGAGAGGGGGGGGGCTGACAGCGAACCGCATCACTGCCCGCTTCTCTGCCCAACAGACCTCCGGTCCGGCCACGGGCCTGCCGGGGAGCGGGACGGGAAGAAAGAGCCGCCGGGGCAGCAGCAACCCGCGGGGGAACCGTACGAAAGGCATTCAGATAACGTCCCGTGGTACATCCGTACCATTAATGAAAAGGTGAGGAAAACCGGCCGTACCGCCTGCCCCAGCCGGCAGAACGCCTAAGCGGAACGCTGCAGTCGTTATTCATGCTCTACCATCTGCTGGCCGATCCAAATAGTGCCGCTCCATTTTGGGCATATGGAAACGAATCAGAGCCGAGGAGTTCGTTGGAGCAGGGACTGCAGAAGTGGCCCGATAGCACGCACTGTATGCATAAGGGACAGGCACTGACATACAGTAGTTAATCTGCTCCGTGGTTCCTCATCCATCCCTTCCATCCCCTCTACCACATTCATAACGGCACTTCTTTATTCCCTAGGAAGAGTGTCTCTCAACGCTGGTAGCTGAGATCGATCGTCTTGCAAAGTACCAGGCAGAGTGTGCACAGAAAGATGTTGTGATTGCTAATCTCCTGAGGGAAGTGGAAAGGCTGAAGAAACAGCTGAAGTTGCTCAAGGACAGTGCAGACACAGAGGAGGTAAAGATTTTAGTTCTACACACTGAAGCTGTGCAGTGCCAAGCTGTGATTTACAATAAATACAGACCCCAGTTCTGAACACTCTCCACATAAGGCTTTAGTAGAACTTAAGTCCTTATCTGTCTTTATAGCACACAGAAACAAAACAAAGGAGCTCAAGTGAAGATGCCACTGACGTTCTCAATGAAGCCAGTGCCCTGGGAGCCATTCTAGAGCAGGCAGAAGCAGAGAAGCAGGCCCTGATGGCTCAGCTCACTGCGTTCCAGAAAGCCCACAAAGAACTCTGTGCAGAACTACAAAAAGCAGAGGATGACTACAACATGGCCACAGGTACCAGGGGAGAAGGCTTCCTCACAGCAGATAATTGTACCAGAGTCCAAGTTCATCTTCTTGAGACTGTTTATTTTACCTAGAAAAAAAGTCTGGGTTAGGTCCACACAAGGGCAAAAACTTCTCCTTATGGAGTGAGTCAGAAACACCACGTGTTTTGAAACCACCTTCCTTCTTGCCTTAGAAGGGCATGAGAAAATCTTGCAGCAAGGCCTGACTCTTACTCTGGAGCACTCCATGGTGTCCCACCACTCTGGCAACCCTGTGCTTGAGTTACTGGCTCTATTAGTCCTCAGAACAGCACCTACCTCATAGTGCATTTACTTAATATATATCACAGCAAAGCACTGTGAAATACATTATTAACCAGTGTTATCATGCCTGTACATTAACCCACAGCCCACACATGGATGAGCAGAGCAACAGCTCTGCTTTTGCTTCCCTGAAAAAAAGCTCACGAAGTCTTTTGCATGGGTTGTTTGCTTACACGAGCACTCCAACCTTACAGGTGCCATGTGTTCCTTGCAAAGACAACTGGAGATCCAAGAATCCCAGCTTCGGAGGACCAAATCTGAAAATGAAAGGCTCCAGAAGGAGATCAGAGGGCGAGAAAATCAGCTGCAAGCCATGTCTGCCAAGGTACCACCATGAGCACAGGGTGGCCATCACTGCAGAGAGAGCTGGAAGCGGGGAATTCAGCCTTTCTGAAACAATTCTCTTCCTAATGAGACAGGAGGTCCATCTCTGAACTGCAAAACTGATGTGTAAAATATTTTCCCTTAAGTTTGGCAGTCTGAGAGAAGAACGGAAACACGAAGAAATGATGGCAGCAATGGAGAAGGAGAACTACAGTCTTCAACAGGTGAATTTGGTTCAAAGCCCACTTGCCTTTATGGAAAACTATCATCAGCCATTTTATTGAGCTTGTTTTAGGCCTGGGGGAGTAAATTTACCCCACTGAAAATACATCAGTGAAATTATTTTGAAAACCTGACTTCTTGAGTTTATTTTACCATTCAATTGCTTTTTTTATGATAGCAAGCTTGCTGCTTTTAACTACTCAGGTACTCAATGCAGTGCTGGAGAAAACCTTAAGTAACAATGGCTACCAGAACAGACAAATCTAAGTCTGTAGACTGCTCAAGAAATACAAGAACCATTTGAATCAGATACTGGGAAGATGTGGCCAGGTCTGCTCACTCTCTTCCTCACTGTAATGGCTTGCTTTATGCATCTCCTCAGGTTGTTACGGAGCAAGAATCCAAACTGCGTGAGCAGATGGAACTGATCAGTGGTTTACAGGGTACAACGTGGCAGCTACAGGCAGAGGCTCTGACCAATCGGTACCACATCCAGAAGCAGCAACATGCCCAAGAGAAGTTGCAGAGCCAAACTGAAATGCTGCAGCACACAGAGCTACAAACCAGAGTGGCACTTGAGCGTGTCACCAGCAAGGTAACGCATGCCTCTTCACTTTCAGACTTCCACCTCTCTGTTAAGAGATGTTCCAACCTAGTCAAGTCCATATGAATGCCAAAGAATCACACATGAAGGCTCAACACATCCACTTCTTTCCTCTTTTATCAAAAGTTTGAAAGATTTCGAAGCAAAATAATTCAGGCTACATTCAGTACAGCAGGCATCAAAGCTCCCCAGGCAGAACTCAGTGACGAGGAGGTGTTGGAGGCAATGCAGGTATGCAGCTCTCTGGAATTGAAAGCCTGCGGGGAACTGCTGAGAAAGCACTGTACAGACCTGCTGTCCATCTGATGCCTTTCTATCCCTTTGCACATCTCTGCCTTTCAGAAAATCATTAACGAGCGCATAGAGTTCCATCAGATGCTGAAACAAAAAGGTATCAAGGTTCCATCTCTCACCAACATTGACATGTTTACTTCATCACCAAGCATTTCAAAGGGAAGGAGGTGAATCCTGCAGTGCAGCATCTCCTGCAGAATGGCCTGAGCAGTCAACTCCCACCACATCACCACTTCCCACCTCCCATTCCTTTGTTTTCAGGTGGTGATTTAGTAGCAAGTGAAACTTACTCAAATAAAGTTCTGCAGTAATTCAGTTGTTTTCTAATTGCTGCTCTGCAGAATGACTCTATTTCACAGGGAATCAGGTCTGCTCAGACACAAGGATCCAGAAAAAGTTAAGTTTCCACTTTGCCAATTTGGCACAGTTACACAATTGGGAAATTCAGCAATGCCAGAACAAGTGACAGTGACATACAACTGCAAGAACCATTTTATTTTTCCATTCAGTACGCAGGTATGTGGCTGTATTTGATGTGGTATCTGCAGAGATCACACAGAACTCTGTAATTCAGTCCATGGATCACCCCAGCTTATGGATGGAGAGGTTTGCATTCAGACAACAGCCAGGCTGCAAGTATCACCCAGACTGCAGAAAGCTGAACCAGTCCAACTATCTGCACTTTGGACGGTGTCCCCAACACTCACCACACTGGGGTGCAGGAGTGGGATCACCTCAGACAGAAGGTTTACATTCTGGGAAGCTGGGGGCAGTGCTGACATAGCAGCAGCCCTCTGAATGGGGCTCAATTTCATGAGCAAGAACAAATTCAGTGCTTGAGCAGCAGTTAACTCAATGGGTACACAGTAAATTCACAACTGGTGCTTCCACAAGGATGGAGTGTGGCTCTAAAATGCACTGGGAAATGCAAACTCCTGCAGTCAGTTCTACTGACTTCACTTAAAAATGAAAGCTGTGCTAAACATGTGAACACAGGAAAAAAAAAAACCATTACTGCAAAACTCACTGCCCAGATTCTGGCAGCATTAAGGTTTAAAATATTTAAAATACACAGAATTTTCAGTTTTATGGTTACCCCAGATATAAAACTATGCAAAATGAGATGCTGTAAGCACTGCTGCATCAGCACTGGCACACAGCACATAACAGCATCAGTGCTGTCACCTACTGGATTTCCCAGTTCAGCTATGAAGATGATAATCCAGCTGAAGCACCAGGAAGGAGGAGTAACCTTGCAGAGAAATACAACTGCATTTGTTTTATCAACTAAAATATCATCATGATTCTCTTCCAAGCTGGTGGATTCTGACTTTGAATACCTTCCCTGCTTTTAGGTTTGCACTGGCAGATGCTGTTGCCTCCAGCTAGTCAGAATGCTGCTGACTTTCTCTAAGGCTGAGAGAGAATGCAATCCTCCTTGCCAGGACTTGATCAAACTTTAGATGCTCTACATAGCCAGGCAGGGTGCACTGCATCTCTTCTTTAAAACACCCTCACTGCGTACAGGTTGCATTCTTGAATATGGAAAAAAGAAAAATAGAACAGAGTAATTTTCTTATCTTTGATAGCAGTCAGCGTATCACTGTCAGCAGGGAGGACACTGTGGCCAGGTCAGTTTTTGAAGGATAAAGTACTTTCAAGTTTCCATCCATGTCCACCACTCGAACCTGCTCCACCACCAGCGGCTGCTGCGTGTTCTGGGTGGGGTTCACATTCACTGGTCCACAAAGAGCATCTGATTCATCATCAGAGCCCGAGCCTTCCTCCTTATTTTCCATGGTGAATCTGTTCAGTTCTGCTATTTTCTGTTAAATACGGCAAAATACAGAAAACTCACAATATAATATAAAAATCTTTTGAGGTACACTAAGAACAGGAGAGGGAGGAAAAGGGAAATTCCTTTGCTACCACAAAGCAACTCCTTCCCCACAAAAGCCACAGGTTTTGCAATCTTCTCCCATACATGTGAGCAATGCAACATTTTGCTGAGGAGCAGAGAGGGTTGTTACTGAGTTACTCACCAAAATGAGAGCATCCATGACATCTTTGCATATCTGCAAACTCGTATCGCTGGTCACTTCCAGGAACAGATCACGGGTGGTTTTTCTGATCTGTAGGAATGTCACAGGTAAAGCAAGCCATGAATTCCAGCATCCTCACCCATAGTTACGTGGCAACACTTCAATGCAAAAATGCAATGAAAGGCTTTCATTCAATTCAAGCAGAGGCAAAGAGCTTTGCCAATCCATAAAGCTGTTCCCAGCGAGGGCAGCCTGGTGCCCCTGGAGCAGCTTGCAAGAGCTGTACAAAGTTATAGAGGCAGAAATGGAGCTCTGAGATTCCTCTGAATCAGTCCAACAGAGGGGAGTAAGGCTTTGGAGATGTGTGGTTTGGAACACAGTGACAAGCATCACAGAATGCATGTAGTTCTGAATCTGGAGTTGAATACATGAATTCTGATGAACAAACTCCCACTGGCACACAGTACCTTTGTTTTCTCACTATTGGTTATTGGTGGGAAAGAAATCACAACGCCTTCAGCATCCACGAGACACGGGTAGTTATCTTTGCCATCCAATAACTGCAGATACCTACCAGGAAAAGCAGAAAAGAAACAAAACACCGCAAAGTAACTGAAACAGCAGCTGGACACAACAGCAAAAAACAGTGACAGGAAGGAATCAGTGTGTCCCTGATCTCCCACAAAGCAAAAACAGACATCAGGGCACTAAAATCCAGCTAAATGATGCCATGGTGATGCAGCTAATAACTACAAGAAGCGATGGCCAGGAACATCAAGTAACTCTCATCTCCATTTCCACACTGCCAAAGCACACAGACAGGCTGCTGCTGCTGTCACAGATCCCCGTGCTTCAACAGGAGCATCAGAGCCCATTGTCTGATTCTTCCAGACGATTTATTTGTGTTATTTGCCCTCTCACTTACTATGGCAATGTGCAGCTCTCCATTATGCCCTTGGCCAACTCCTCCAAGCTGCGTGCCTGATGGATACGGCTGGCGGCCTCTACTGAGCAGCAAACAGAACACAGCTCATCTGTTCTACACGCAGACTGACAGCTCCTCTCTTCTGCTTAGTTTATCGAATTTGCACGACACACTACATCTCCCTATGGTTCCTTTCTACCTGCTACTTCATACACACAAATTACTCTCACGGGTGACAAACGTGACAAGAATTTACTCTTGATGGGTGGAGAAATAATGGAAGTCGCTCATCAACCCCCATTTGCCACACGTTACCCCTCGTGTTTCCTTCAGAGCTGTTTTTCTACACAAGAACAAGCTGCCAAAACGCACACGAAACAACAGAACACTGACTTGTGCAACCCAGAAACATTCTGCCGCTTCTTCTGCTTCCTCTGCTCCTCTGCTTCCACCTGCAGCTGACGGAGGAGATCCTTGGCGTTGATCTCCTTTCGGCCCAGAGGAGTTATCTACACCAAATGAGAAACAGCCGTTCAGCTCTGAGTGACCTTTCCCTCCTTCGTGGCTGCAGAAAACAAAGGGAGGTGAAGGAGAGGCGCGTGGTCGGCGCTGCTGCACCTTCAGCTCAGCAGGAGGCTGCACGCCGTACGTCAGGGGCCCTTTGACCAGCTGCAGGTCGTGGGTGGCAATCGTGGCCGCTGTCCTCTTTTCACATATATCTTCATGCAGTTTGGTCTAAAACACAAAGAGCATCGTCACAACACAGCAAGGCATCAGCACGATGCTCTGCTCTATTTAGTGCTAACTGGTTGAGTCATTACAATTTCAATGGGGCCGAACATCCTTGCACTGACTTACAGAGCCCCCAAGGTTGGAAAAGACCTCCAAGATCATCCAGTCCAACCTGTGGCCGACAGCCCTCACTAAACCGCGTCCCTCAATACAACATCTAAGCGTTCCTTCAGCACCTCCAGGTCGGCACCTCCACCACCTCCCCGCGCAGCCCATCCCACAGCCCGACCACTCCTTCACAGCCACGGCCTGGGACAGCCCTGTCTGCCCCTCAGCATCGCACGCAGCTCTGCTCTCCACCTCCAGGTGGAGGAAAATTCCACCACAGAAGCACGAGGGCAGCGATGCGCAGCGCAGGGGCCGCATCGGAGCCGGGAGACGAGCAGCGCGGGGCGGGGAAAAGCCTCCGGCACCGCGGGACGGGGACGCGGCAGCCACGGGGAGCCCCGAGCCGCCCGGCAGCGCCGCCCACCGCCTACCTGGGCGCTCAGGAACCTCCGCACGGCGTTCGCCGGCCGCAGCCGCACCCCTCTGAGCACACAGCACACGATGTAGGGCCGCACGTCCCTGACGCCCGGACTCGCCCTGACCACCATCGGCGCCGGGTTGTCGCCCACGTGCAGGACCTTCAGCAGCAGCTTCCCGACCGCCTCCGCCTCGTCGCGCTCGCCGTCCCCGCCGTCCTTTTTCTGCTGTTTCTCCCGTTTTCTCCTGCGGGTCTCCTCGCGGCCGCCCTCGGCGCGGCCCTTGGACCGCAGGTACTCCAGCACGGCCCGGGTCTGGCAGCCGTTCACCATCTTCTCGAGGCGGCGGTCCCGCAGCGGGTTTCCGCGCAGGTTGGCGTCCTTCAGGCGGGGACAATCGGCCAAGGCGGCGGGCAGCGCGCTCAGCCGGTTGTTGGCCACGTCCAGACTCTGCGGGACCGAGCGGGGCGGTCACGGCGGCGCGGGGCCGCGGCGGCGCGGGGTCGGGGCCGCGCTCGCTCACCTTCAGCGCGGGCAGCGCGGCGATGTCCGGGCTCAGCTCCTCCACTTCGTTGTCGGCCGCCTCCAGCCGGCTGAGCAGCGGGAACGGCGCCGGCGCGGCGTCGGCGGGCGGCAGCAGCGCCCCGGGCAGCGCGCGGAGCCGATTCCCGGACAGCAGCAGCTCCCGCAGCTGCGGCGCGGCGCTCGCCAGCCCCGGGCCGAGCTCCCGCAGGCGGTTCCCGCTCAGGTTGAGGCTGCGCAGCTGCGGGAAGGCCGCGGCTTCGCCCCCCTCCTCCGACGGCCCCGCGCCGCCCAGCGCGGCGGGCAGCGCCTCCAGCCCGTTCCCGGACAGGTCGAGCAGGCGGAGGGCCGGCAGCGGCCCGCCCAGCCCCGCGCCCAGCCCGGCGGGGCCCAACGCGTTGCCGCTCAGCACCAGCGTGTGCAGGGCGGGCAGCGCGGCCGCCAGCCCCGGGCCGAGCTCCTTCAGCGCCGCGCAGCCGCTCAGCTCCAGCGACTGCAGCAGCGGCAGCGCCAGCAGCTCGGCCGGCAGCCGCCCGCCGCCCGCCGCCACCCGCTCGGCCACCGCCGCGCCCTGCAGCGCCAGCTCCCTCCGCCGCTCCCGCGCCGCCGCCTCCAGCTCCGGCCACGCCGCCGCCATCGCGCCGCGCTCCGCTCCTCCTCCGCGCTCCGCTCCTCCCCGCGCAGCGCCGCGCTCCGGCAGCGCGGTGGCAGCGAGCGGCCGGGCGGACGCGGAACGGCTCCTCGTTAGCTCAAATCTTTTATTGAGTGTCAAAAGCGTATCTCAAAAGGTTGGGTCGCGTTATAAAATAGAAGCACAGATCCCGCTGCCCGCATATAGCTCATTAGCTGTCTTAATTACGTTCTGCCCGTGTTTAGAAGCCGCGCTCCGGGAGCGACGCAGAGCTGCTTTCACCGTGTGCGGCGTTGGCCAATCCAGAGCGCACAAACGGCTCTTTCTCTTTTCCTTTGCAGGATGCAGGGCTCACGCCTCACCTCCAAAAGGAACCACGCTCTGCCCGCAGCCCATGGATGGCACGGCCCCGCTCAGCTCCGAGCACAGCCAGCTGCTGCTCTGCGTGCGTACGGAGCGAGGCTCTAACACAGGAACCTGCAGCTCCCCCGTGGAAGGAAGCATACATCTATATTAAACATACAAACGTTATGAATATATATATATAGTATTGATATATTTGGAAGAGTTAAAATTCATATAAAGACTTTCAAAATGTAACTGTGCTGATCTACCTGTGAAATCCACACATTTGTAGGCAGGCTGCACGCAAGCTGTGTTATAAAATCAGTGCTGTGCACAAAGCAGCACCACACATTCGCTCCCTGACAGCATAAATCACAGCCAGGCTTCAGCACTGAAGGCCACGCACGGTTTGTGGCCAGTGAAATATCCCTCAGGTCTGGGTGCTCCTTGTGCACACGCCCTGACAGAGCAGCTAAGCTGAGTATTAATGCTGTTAACACTCTAGGATTTGCAAAAGGGAAAACAAAAAGCCCTCTTAGCTTTCTTCAGCTGCACTGCATCCCCTCGCTCTTTTTTTTCATTACACAAACAGGTAAGGAAGAATTCTGCCTTATGGAATTGGCATTTCACCAATTGAATGGTTCAGGAGTTTAGCTGTACAGGGCCATACAGCTCTTCAGTTACACATTTTGTGTACTCTGATACACGTTCCCTCTCACATGCACATACATTCTTCATTCCACCTTACACCAAATGCCCGCTCATACCATCGCTCACCTCCACCACCGTGGAGCCCCTGAGCAGCCCACAGGGCTGTGCTCACCATGGCATTAAGCACAGCATCCCTCCATATGAACCCTGTACTCCTCAGGGTTTGGTTTGGGCTGTTTTTGTGACGAGGAAGCAATCACAACCTTCCTTGTGCATGATGGGGAAACGAGGTGGGCGGCTGCAATGGAGGATTTGCTCCTTTTTAATCAGAAAACCACAGTGCTGCATAGAGCTGCCATGGCAGCCATGGAGCAGTGCCCTGACTGTTCTGCTCCACACCTACACACAGCCTCAGCTATCCATATGGAAAAGATCTAAGTTGCTCAGAATTTTTAAATGGCCATTAATAACGACACGCCCAATTATTAAATAAAAAATACAAACCACAGCACTTGTCCTGTCATTGCTTTGAGTATGTTTTGCCTGAGCTTTTATTCGGGCCTCCTCTTGGCGTTGGGATCTTGCTTCCTATGGAGGGAGGTCGAACTTTGGTTCTTGAAGGACTGGGTTTCTTCAAATAGTGGCCTCCTGTTTTGCCTGTGAAGAGATGCCATGGGTCATTACTTGCTCGTCGGAGCCCTGAGTTGAACTGCATTCGCTTACAGCAGCTGAAAGAGAGCATTTAAGGGCTCTGCCCAGGAGCTCGGCATAGCCCTGAAAAACAGCTATGAGCAAAGCAAAACTCAGACACAGCAGTTTAACTCTGGCAACAATCTGAGCATGGAGGGGATGAAACAGCACTGAAAAAAAAAGCTTGAAGGGAAAAAAAGGCAGTGGAGGAGAATAGTTTTGGCGCTGCAAGCAGTGAAAATAGCTTGTTTGCTTAACTTCTGCATTCATGATGTAAGGGGATTTTACTTGTGCCAGATAAGCAAAGACAACTTTAAAAAATCTGAGATGAGCATCATTTTCTCTCTGCTGATGTTGAACTTGCACAGCCATAAGCTCTGCCCAGCTCCTTGGTTCCACTGGGAAAGGAAAAGCAGCACCCAGCACAAACTACTCAATTCGTTTTGTACTTAGGATTAGACCAGCGTCCTCTGATTGGACATTCACAGCCAAAACAGGCTCTCAATTCACTGCACTGGTGGTCAGGAGCTTTCCAGAACTGTAACTCATTGCTATCACTGCTGATTGCTCTATTCATGACCATACTATTAAGTAGACGAAGGCTGAAATGATCCAATTATCAGACGTGTCAGTTTCCCCTGGCAATTGACCTTCAAATTACTGTTATTGAAATTACTGTTACCAAAATATGACTTAGGTTACCCAAATGCAAAGAGCATGTTGAAAATGTAAGCAGCCATCTTGCTCTCAAGGCTGAAATACTTTCCTTAAGCAGTGGCAACACAGCAAAAAAGAACAATCATTACAAAGAAGTCTTACCAGGCTGCATTGGAATAGTTTTATTTATGGTGGATAACCTTCGTAGATTCATTGCACAGCCATCCGTGCCCATGAGGTGTGACTTCCAGGCCTAACCAGTTATAAAGAAGTGATATTAAGAAACCAGCAAGGTTAGCCACCCTTCTGTCTACTCAGTCTGTGCACACACAGAATCTTAAACACAGGAGAAAGGGATACAGTAACAGCTGAAGCATTCAGTGCCACTAAAGAATGCAGACTGCTAGCACTAGACAGCATGACAGCACCTTCAAATCAGATGTTTCTCAAAAGAGGAATGTGGGCACAAGTAACAAAAAAAATACACGTTCCCCAATTATTTCAAGTCCCCTGAAAATGAGAGAGCCATTACAGAGCCTGGCAATAACCCTGGTAAGTTCTTAAGTCTTTGCATGTAAAGCAGTGTTTTAGGAGGACAAAAACTCAATCCTCGTGATGGAACAAAATCAGACTAATCTGCTAAGCAGCCTTACCTCCTCTCCAGGAGAAAAGTTGTCATGGCACAATGGGCAATGGTTTGCCACATTTTCTGGTTTGGCAGCTGAAAGGATAATACAAGTACAGCACAGACAGGTGAATTTAAACATACAAGGAGGATCTGCATAACAACTCACAGAAGACTGCACTAGGATTAAAGCAGCCCCTAGCTTATCATCATTCACTGCTCTGAAAGAAGTCTGATCCTTTATGATCATTTATCCCATGGGTAGCTACCATCACAGTGTCTGGGCCTCAAACTGCAAGGATGTGACACAAGCTTTCTCTTCTGTCCTCGCTCATTTTCTCCACATGCATTTATGGAAGCAAAGCATTTCAAGCACTGGGAAACACAGGGATTTTTGTCAGACATGTTCTCTCCTGAAAACAGACTAAGATTCTAAATCCGTAGTGCAATACCTAAATAGAAGTGGTGTGACTTGACAAAAATGTGCAGTACTTGGATGCTGGACTGACCTGACTTTTGAAGTTCAGCCTTCCTGTTTAAAACTACTCACCGTTGCAAGTCTTGCTCTTAATATGTTTGGGCAACTCATCCTTTGGAAAGGCTTCACTGCATCGCTGGCATTTCCCAAAGCTGTCCTTCTTATCACACTCAGTCAACAAATGCTCTGTCAGGCTTGCTATTTCTACCACCTGCAGCACAACAAAGGTACCCAAGATTTGTACTGTACTGAGTAAACAAAAACAGCATTAAAACAAAGCTTTCTCGGTGGTTTTTGGAAGCTAAGAATCTCTTCTCAAAGTGATAAATGAAAAAAAAAAAAAAAAAGGAATTGGAGTGCAGTTGGTGATACATTTTGTACCACTGCTTTTTTCTAAAAATGCTATCCAAAATCACTCAGTGCTCAGAATTCATCTGTTGTAGCATTAAATATCTTGTCACATTAACAACAGAATAAAAACTGCTACTGACTTGTTGTGCCTGACCTGTTTGCAGTGCTCACATCTGGTTAACATAGGACAGCGTTTCCAGTAATGGAGATCCAGTCCTTCCTCTGTGAAGGATTCATTCCTTTCACCGCAAAAAATGCATAAACTGGGGAAAAAGACACCCAGAGAACAAAGCAATCAATCAAACAACCAAAAACCATAATATCAGTAACACTATAAATGGAAACAGATGATCCCCACTATTAGAAACCATTCTGAAACACAGTCCTTATTTTCTCTGCATAGTCCTGACCTGTGCTTATTTTTTTATCCCACCAACAGCTATTAAGAAAACAAATTCAAAGTAGTGCCATCCTAGTAGTTACAAATCAACATCCAGGACTGCTCTAAATCTGTTAGAAAGGTTTTCTTTTTCATTGTTTAAAAGCCTAAGTTATAAGCTTTGATCTACTAGAGAAATACCATTATAGTTGTTAGCAGGTTATACGAAGTACTTAAGGTGATTAGAAGCTATTAATCTAGCTTACTTATCCAAGTAATTTGCAACAGAGGAATGATCATCTGGAATCTCTGATACTGCAGGCTGTGGGCTTCTGTAACCTGTATAAAAGAAAATGGAAATAATCCTTCTCCAGATAACAAAAGCAACAGACCTAATACAAGATGAATACAATCTAACACATTGAGCATCTGCAGTGTTTCAAGGGCATCTCAACTCCTAATACTACCTGAAATTACTTACCTTGATCTTTTGTCTTCTGGAAATCAGGCTCTTTTTCCTATGGAACAAACAATTTTTTAAGTCAGAAATGTCTTTTGTGACTGTGATACTAACTGGGCAGAAAAAGAACAGAATTTGATTTTTCTCTGGAATTAAAGGCTTAGAAGCAGAGCCAACACTTTACAATACCATCAGGTTCTAAAATGGGAAGGATTCCAATTTCTTATTTGGTTACAAAAAACAATTCCCCAGATGTAAAACTCAGGATGAAAATCAGACTGAGAGGAGGCTCTCCCTCCCTCTTCCACATCCCCCATCCTTCTTACAACTGACATTACTTGTCTCCTTGCAAACTATCTGAGCATGGGACACTTGAGGAAAATGTTTAAAAATATATATATTTAGATAAAAAACAAAACACCCCAACCTTTCCAGCTTGAACTTCTGCTTGTATCTCCTTTAGAGCTGCCAGCTGACCTTGCAGAACTTTTATTTCTGCCTTCTTCTGTCTCTCTGCTTCTTCTGTTGCTGCCTTTTTTTGTGCCTGTGAAGAAAATACTCTTCCAATTATGAAAGTTTTTGAACCATCTGTCACACAGGAGAATCTGCAAAACACAAAATATCAGCAGCCTTCTTACTTACCCTCATTTCAGCGTCAGAAAGTTTACCATCTATTTTAGTAAATCCATCAAAGAGTGTTTTATAGAGAACAGTCTTGCGAATGCTTGCATCATCTGGAGGGAGATATTCCAGTATGGCAGCTTTGTGTTTCCTGTACATATCAAAGATAATTCTCAGTGCTACATCACGAACTTCATAAACTCTGTGCTCCAAAGCTCCCGTTGCAAACTGAAAAGAAAACAGAACTAAACACAAATCCAACAGCAACAGAAAGGAACTCCAAGTGCTGTACGCTCCGACTCCCACCTTCATGGCATTGCTGATGGTAAACCCTGAGTTTTCAGTTCCCATCTCTTTCAAGAGGCACTCAACTAATTCCACTCGACTCATGGCCAGATGTGTTGGGGAATTCGGTTTTAAGGGTTGAATCAAATGAACTGGAACAATCTGAAGAGGTTTCACTTCGCTCCACAGTGCCATTTCCTGTAAATATACAGTCAGTGTGTGTGTAGGAATGTTACTTGAGGGAAATGAGCTGCCTTTGCCAAGCAGAGTTAATCTATGTGGCTTAAAATGAGTTCAGTAAAATGAAGAAAGAACTTCACTGAAACACAGCTGCTTGTTTGCTATTTCAGCAGGGATAAGTTATTTCTAGCTGGCACCTTCCCTAGGGAACTGCTTCCTGGGGCAGTGTAGCATCTGGTGCTGGTGATAGAAAAACAGTTTTCTTCTCTTGAGGCCAGGGCTCCTCTACAATGTGTTTGTGACCATTTCCTCACCGGCATTGAAACATTCAGTTACAAAGCTATTGTAAATAAGTCAAGCAGTAGTAACAAAGCAATCAGTCATTTCTGGGGGTTCTAGTGACACATCAGAGCATTTCACACCTTGAAGTTTCAGTTACATCCTCCAGTGAAAAGAATTCATTTTCCTTCTCTGTATGGATGCAATCACAGATAAATAACCCAGAGCCAGAGCTCCAGCTACCCCTCTCCTGGAACTGGATTAACACACTTTCACACAGAATTACTCTTCTAAACCCTATCGGAAAACAGCGCTGCAATCCCCCAGCAGATCTTCCCTACTGTGCTTTGCCAACATTTAACATGGAATGGACTTTGTCTTTTAAACAGGCTTTTGTATGCTTTTGTTAAGT